TGAAACATCTCAGTTGGTATTCCATCAGTTCCTGGAGGCTTGTTGTTTCCTATGCCTTTAGTGTAACTTGGAGTTTTCCTTCAGTACCATCAGTTCTTAATCATATACTACCTCCTGAAATGGTTGATTGTCAACCAATTCTTTTTGGTACAGTGACTCTGTGTATCCCTTCCATCTGCTCTGATGCTTAATCCATCATTCAAATTTTCCTCTTTAGTCTGGTAATATAATAGATTACATAGATTGTTTTTTGAATCTTCAGCCAGCCTTAACTTCCTGGAATAAAACCCACTTGTTCATGATGGATAATTATTTTTACATATTGCTGAGTCCTATTTCATTAAGAATTCTCACATCTACATTCATGAGGAATTTTGGTTGTAGTTTTCTTTTTTCCTACTGTCCTAGTTGTTTTGTTAGCAGGGTAATATTGGCCCCATAAGATGAGTTGGGAAGTGTTCCCACATCTTCTATTTTCTAGAAGATTGTTTAGAACTGATGTTAATTACTCTTTTTTTTAAATTTTAGTGTGCTTTTGGTGAAAGTTTAACTCTCAAGTTTGTTTCTCATTCAAAAATTTATACACATATTGTTTTGTGTCATTGGTTGCAACCCCCTCAATATGACAGCATTCTCCTTCTTTCCATTCCCAGTTATCAGTGTCCATTCATCCAGTTCCTGTCCCTTCTTGCCTTCTCGTTTTGCTTTTGGGCAGAAGTAGCCACTATGGTGTTGTATATTTGATTGAACTAAGAAGCACATTCCTCACGTGTGTTATTGTTTGTTTTATAGGCCTGTCTAATCTTTGTCTGGAAAGTGGGCTTCAGAAGTGGTTTCAGTTCTGAGTTAGTAGAGTCTGGGGTCACAGTCTCAGGGATTCCTCCAGTTCCTCCAGCCAGACCAGTAAGTCTGATCTTTTTGTGAATTTGAGTTTTGTTCTACGTTTTTCTCTTGCTCTCTCCAGAACTCTCTGTTGTAATCCCTGTCAGAACGGTTGGTGGTATTCTTTAAATGTTTGGTAGACTTCTCCAGTGAAACAATCTGAACCTGGAGAGTTCTTTTTCAGGAGTATTTAAATCACTAATTAAATTTCTTTAATAGTTGTAGAACTATTCAATGATCTATTTTATATTAGGTGAGTTGTGGTAGTTTTTCTGTTTTCAATTTCATTGGTATCTGCTGCTATCTTTGATTTTTTTCATCTGCTTGATTTGGATTTATTTTGCTCTTATTTTTCTAGTTTGAGGTGGGAACTTAGATGACTGATTTTAGACTTTTCCTCTTTCTATTATAAGTATTCTTTGCTATACATTTCCCTGTCAACACTGCTTTAGCTGAGTCCCACAAATTTTGATATGTTGTACTTTCATTATTATCCAGTTCAATTTACTTTTTTTTTAAATTTACCTTGAGACTTCCTCTTTGACCCATGAATTATTTGATGTTGTTGTTTAGTTATTTGGAGATCTTCCTGTTACCTTTGTGTTATTGACTTCTAGTTTAATTTTATTGTGACCAGAGAACACCCTCTGTCTCATTTCTTTTAAATTTCTTGAGGTTTGCTTTTTTTTCATTGTTGTTTTTTCCTTCCTGATATTCTAAGATTGCTGCTTTTATAGTTTTCTTGTTGTTTAAAGAACTTCCTTTAGCCATTCTTTTAGAGTAGATCTGCTGGCAATAAATTTTCATAGTTTTTTGTTATCTGAAAATGTCTTTATTTCCCTTTCTTTCCAAATGGACAATTTTGCTGAACATAGAGTTAGGAGTTGACAGTTTTTTGTTTTTGTTTTTTCTTTCAGAACTTGAAAAAATGTTTTGTCGTTTCCCTTAGGCTTCCCTGGTTTCCATTGTCATTAAAATTATTTTTCCTCTATAGATAAGGTGTTGTATCTCTCTTGCTTTTGATTTTTCTTTGTTTTCAGTTTTCAGAATTTTGGTTATGATGTATCTTAGAATGGATTTCTTTGGGTTTATATTTTTGGGGGTTTGCTCAGCTTCTTGAATCTGTAGGTTTATGTCTTTTTCCAAATATGAGAAATCTTTAGCCATGATTTCTTCAAATGCATTTTCAGCCCCACTCTCTTTTTTTTTTCCTTCTGGGACTTTGAAGACACAAGTTCTATAGCTTTTGTTATAGTCCCACAGATCCTTAAGTTATTGTTTTTTTTTTTTTTTTTTTCCTAGCCTATTTGCTCTCTGTTGTTCAGAGTGGGTAATTTCTATTGTTATAGCTTCAAGTTCACTGATTCCTTGCACTGTTCCCTCCACTTTTCTGTTGAGTCCATCCATTTAGTTTTTTCATTTGTTTCTGGTTATTGTATTTTTTAATTCTAGAATTTCCATTTGGTTCTTGTCCATATCTTTTATTCCTTTGCTAGATTTTCTACTTTATCATTAGTTTCAAGCAAGTTCCTACTTGGTCGTTAAGCATTTTTATGATGGTTACTTTAAAATCTTTGTCTAATAATGCTAATATTTTTGTCATCTGATTAGTGTTGGCATTGGCTGATTGTCTTTTTTATTGTTGTACTTTAAGTGAAAGTTTACAATTCAAGTTAGTCTCTCATACAAAAATTTATATATACATTGTTATGTGACCCTAATTGCTTTCTCTACACTGTGACAGCACACTCCTCCTTTCCACCCCTGATTTCCCATGTCCATTCAACCAGCTCCTGACCCTCTCTGCCTTCTCATCTCACCTCCAGACAGGTGCTGCCCATTTAGTCTCATGTATCTACTTGAGCTAAGAGGCCCACTTTTTACGAGTATCATTTTATGTTCTGTAGTTCAGTTTAATCTTTGAAGAGTTGACCTTGGGAATGGTTTTAGTTCTGGGTTGACCAAGAGTCCAGAGGCGATGCTTTCTGGGGACCCTCCAGTCTCAGTCAGACCATTAAGTCTGGTCTTTTTTACTAGAATTTGTGTTCTGCACCCTACTTTTCTCATGCTCCATCAGGGACTCTCTGTTGTGTTCCCTGTCAGGGCAGTCATTGGTGGTAGCCAGACACCATCTAGTTCTTCCAGTCTCAGGCTGATGCAGTCTCTGGTTTATGTGGCCCTTTCTGTCTCTTGGGCTAATACTTTCCTTGTGACTTTGGTGTTCTTCATTCTCCTTTACCCCAAGTAAGTTGGGAGACTGATTGTCTTTTCCTATTTGTGATATTTTCCTGGTTTTGAGTACAACAATTATTTCTTTAATTTTATTTTTGATGAAAATACACACAGCAAGACATACACATATTCAACAATTTTTATGTATATAGTTCATTGACAATAATTACATACATCACATTTTGTCAACACTCTTCCTATCTATGCCCATATTGTTTCACTACCCTTAACCTAGATTCTCTGCCCCTTAAAGTTCTCATCTGTGTTTTAGAGTTACTGTTGTCCATTTTAGGAACCCTGGTAGCACAGTAGTTAAAGCACTTGGCTGCTAACCAAAAGGTCAGTGGTTCAAACCCACCAGCTGCTCCACAGGAAAAAGATGTGGCAGTCTGCTTCTGTAAAGATTTACAGCCTTGGAAACCCTGTGGGGCAGTTCTACTCTGTTCTATAGGGTTGCTATGAGTCAGAATCAACTTGACGGCAGTGAGTTTGGTTATTTTGTTTGTTTGGTTGTCCATTTAATCTCATATAGATTTCTTTAAAAGAATGAATGTTCAAGGTGAACATTCTTTATTAATGAATTAAATGTTTGTTTAGTCTAAAGACGACTTCATGAGATAGTTTCAGTTCAAAGCTTAAAATTTGTTTCCAGATGATAGATTCAGGGATTCCGCCAGTCTGTCCAGTCTTACTGTTCCTCCACTAAGTCTGATTTCCAATAAGAAGTTGAAGTTCTATTCCACATTTTTTCCTCCTTTTGATCAAGATCCGAGTATTGGGTCCTTGATTAAAACATTCAGTAATGGTAGCTTGACACCATCAGTTTCTTCTGGTCTCATGACAAATGAGATAGTAGCTCATGAAAGCAATTAGGCCTGCAGTCCATTTCCTTCTCTGATTCCTGGGTCTCCTTCTTCCTTTTTTGCACCAGGTGAATAGAGACCAATTGTTGTATCTTGGGTGGCTGCCTGCAAGGTTTTAAGACCCTGGGCACTACTTGCTGATCCAAGAGGTAGAGGAAAAACTGTGAAAATGATATTAGGCCAAATTACTGGACAGGCCCACGATTCCTTTGAATCAAGGAAACTATTCCAATGAGGAGTTTATTTGTAATTACTTAGTATCAACAGCTGCAGGCTTGACAATTGATTCTTGATTCTGTCTTGGATGTTTTAGGCATTATGTTATGAGACTCTGAATCTTATTTAAATCTGTGTTTCATCAGGTCTCCTCTGACACTGCCCTGCTGAGGGAAAGGGTTTTACATTTCATTATAGCCTGGTGGGGGTGAAAGGACAGGTTCCCTACTAAGCTTTGTTTGACACTATTCAGTGAAAGGGCTCTTGTGTTACTGCTCCCCACTTGGCCTCCACTGACTCCTTGAGGGTAAGCAGCCTCATTACAGCTGGGTGAATGGTGGTGACAGTTCCAACTTTCCACTTGGACTCCACTGATATGTGATTTACTCATCTGATCTCTGTGGTTTTGGGGAGAAGGCAGGAGGTCCTTAGTAAAAGTATGAAATTGTTACTTTTATAAATGCTCACACACAACCTGCTTCCTTCCTCTCCTTCTTGAAGTTCGTTTTAGTCCTGAAAGTCCTACTTTTTTTTCCCCTGACCACTTTAAAACACACTATTTGAATGGGATAGTAGATGATTGTACTTTGGTGTGAATTTAGTTGCATTTTGAAGTAATCTCTCATGCCAGAAGAAAAAGATCACTTCTATTATTGGAAGAATTTCAGGCCCCATATTTATTGGGGCTGTTTCATTCTCTGAATCTTAAAATCACTGTACAGCAAGCATCTTTCACATATACTCAATTAACCTGTTAACATATTGCTGTTTATGATATAAAATGACTGACTGATCTGTTTGATATAGGTATAGCACATGTGGCTTTACTTACTAAAGTGGATAACTGGGATGAAATTCTGCAAGATGACTTTCTAAACATGAATAGATCTATGACTTACGAAAGCCAGGTAAAGAATGTTAATTGTAATCAGATATTATTGTAATAGTGTCACAATCATACTATATGTGTATACACACACAGCATATTCACAGGTGAGTGAAGAACTCTATCAATGGCCTAGTAAATTCAAGTTTGTCCCCTGCTTTAGAACTATAATGATCTGAGTTATATTCTGAAGAGAATTTCTTAAGCTGTTGCATTTTTAGTTTCTTTCTTGAATTATATTTAAATTCAGTAAAATTTCAAATATAGGATTTATGGTTATTAAATGTATTTTTCCACAGATAATGCATGTCAGCAAAATGCTAAACATCCCTATTTCTAATATCTTGATGGTTGGAAATTATGCCTCAGAGTGTGAGCTGAACCCCTTAAAGGATGTTTTGATCCTTTCTGTGCTGAGGCAGATGTTGAGGGCCACAGATGACTTCTTAGAGGATTTGCCTCTTGAGTAAACAGGTAATATGTTCCCTTTCTGCTCCTCTCATGAAACACTGGTGCCTTTTGAGAAACTCTAAGCTGTACCTTAGTTGGATAGTTGGGGCCCATTTCCCTGACTTATTCCTGTCAGCCAGGATACATGCTTGGTTTCTACTCTCATTTCTTTCGTTTTCAGATGAAATTGCTGGAATATTACAGCTCTGCATGTGACATTAGCTGCCTGATGCTGACACTTGGCCCAAGCCTGCTTTGGCATGCCCCAGTTAGAATCAATCTCTTCTGACAGCCTCCCTCAGACTCCTCCCTTAGACTCTACTTTTGCCTTCTGTCCCTGACAACATCTGACTGATGGCTTCTCCAAAGATCAGCCATATCTCAAGCCCAAAGGCAAGCCCTGAGAAGTAGTGGGTCAAAATATGCCCTACTACAAACTTCCCTCCACATTTTTGCACGATTTACAACTTAGTTTATGTGACACCTTTCTAAACCTCCTTCCCCAGGCAAAATAAATTGTCGCCTTACTTCTTCTATAGCACTTTATATAAAACTCTATGGGAATGCTAGTAATGCTGAATAATGATTATTCTATGTTTATATAAATATCTGTTTTCCTAGATATGTTATGATTTCTTTGAGAAACAGGATTTGGATTTTACTTATCTTTGTATTCATAGGGTGAATACACAGTGACTAGCAGGGAGCAAGAATATCTCCATTACTTCTTCACCTACCTCCTCATAGTGGTACCATGTACTTTAACTTTTTCTCCTTTTAGAAGTGAAAACTGTGAGGGGATGAAATGCAGGAGAGGAGAAATGGAACTAAAGGAGAGATAGTTTTTCATTTATCTCTGGTTGAAAATATGAATTAAAGTTAATTAAATGAGAAAAAAAATTTTTTAAGAACTCACATTTTATTTCTGTGGAAAAAAATAAAGTTTCTTCCTGTAATAAACTCATGTCTGATTTTCATTAATTGAATTCTTAGTCATGTCTCCAAAGTAGAGTGACCAAATATTATTATTTTATACTAGTACATGTCCATAAGAAGGTTGTCTTATACAAGCACCCCCAAAGGATTCTGATCCTCTGAGCAGTTGTAGAAGTGAATACTATCAGTAAGAAAAAAAATTCCAGAAGATAGTTTACAGTTCTTGCTTCTTTTTTTTTTTTTGCCTAAAGCTTTCTTAACTGCTTTCCCTAAATTTCTTGTCTGTTTTAAAAAAAAATGTGTTTAAGTTTCATTTATTTATATTCTAGCAGTCTAATTTACTTTTTAAAATTGTTGTAAAAAAATATATATATAACACAACATTTGCCAGTTCAACATTTTGCAGGTGTACAATTTGTTGATATCTGTTATATTAATCATGTTGTGCAACCATCACTCATAACCATTGCCAAATTTCCCATCACCATGAATAGAAACTCACCGCTTTCTAAACAACGATTCTCCCTTTATGCCTCTATCCTACCCCTGTTTATTAGTAACTGCTAATAAACTTTGGTCTCTCTACATTTGCCTATTCTTGTTATTACATGTCAGTGAGATCATACAATATTTGTCCTTTTGTAATTGCCTTATTTCACTCGGCATAATATGTTCAAGGTTCATCCAAGTTGTAGCATGTATCAGGACTTCATTTCTCTTTATGACTAGTTAGTATTCTATTGTATGTATGTACCACATTTTGTTTATACATTCATCCATTGATGGACATTTAGGTTGTTTTTATCTTTTGGGTATTGTGAATAGTGCTGCAAAAAATAATTTACTTTTAATCAGAATTATTCTCTTATTTTGAGAAGACCTGGGTATTAAAAACAACTGAAAAACAAAACCCATTGCCGTTTTGTCAGTTCTGATTCATGGTGACTCCTTGTGTTACAGTGCAGAACTGCTCCGTAGGGTTTTGTTGGCTGTAATCTTTACAGAAGCAGTTGCCAGGCCTTGCCCCACTGGGGGGATTTGAACCACCAACCTTTAGGCTAGTAGTCAAGCACAAAACATTTTCAACATTCAGATAATTCCTTAGAGTTAGTGTTGGAAAATGGAACATTTCAAGCACAGCTGCAAGTGAATCTGTGATCAAACGACTGACTATTCAAGAAGGTATGAATCAATCAAACAGATGGGGTCTTTAAAAAGATCTAAGAATGGGATGGTCCTGGAAATTGAGAAGTAGAGTCAGAATTACACATTATGAAGCAAAGTAGAGTGGTAATAGAGTAGCTATGATACTGATGCAGGAAGAAGCAAGTCACAAAAGTAAGGTATGTTTGTCTCTATGTAATCCAGAGAAAAAATAAGTCACAGCTATTGTTGGTAGAGAGAGACTGAAGGTGACTGAAGACTCACCATTTCCCTTATCAACTATAACATCGTAACTCATCTGTTCCCATAGTAAAGCCAGCAAAAATCTGGGCAGAAGAAGCGTTTGCTAGATGAAAAATTAGACTCTTTATTCTATTTGGAGGAATGTCATGGAGTGCCCTCATGAAGGAGATGGATGCCCTAAACAGAAGAGGGAAAATGGGGAGATCAAGAGAAATAAGTAACAAGGCAATGTTCATGGGAACCAACATCCTTTGAAAGTACGAATGTTGAGACCACGCTCCTTTTCTTGTGCTAAAAAAGACAGTATTAGCTAAATGATATCGTACCTCCTGATCCTCTAGTGCTATACTGCTTTGAGAACACTTAAATATTTACTGAGGTTAAATGTATATTTGGAATTCATGTTGGAAAAGATTGGTGAAGGGGGGCTCAGAAAGGAGGAAGGAAGGGCTTATCTGGGAGGATGCCTTCCCAGACTGTGGATTCCTTTGATCTTTCTCCACCACACTGAGGGGTAGTAGAATTTATCAATTTGCCATATGGGTTATATTTTAGAGGGCATCCACAAGCTTTGAAACTTTACATAATTTACAATTGAGCTAGGTATATAATCCAGCCAAAGTCAGTTAACTTTTAGCAAAATAGTGCGAGGGGACATAAAGAATGAAGCATGATTTTAATGGGAGGTAGAACATCATCCTAAAGTGAAAATGATGTTCTGGATACAGTTTAAGCATTGATGCTAAAGCCTTTGGAGGGGAGGTTGTTGCATTAGAAAGTGACTATTTTTCTGATAGACATTTGTAACATTGTGCAAACTCACCCAGCATCCACCTTAAAAATATCAATAGATGGAGGTTTTGGTGGGTGATATGTAAGCCTGTGTCTTGTTCAGAAACATAATTTTAAAGATTATAACATTGCATCTTCAGAAAGATGTGGTTGCTGCTGAATGAATTCTGACTGATTGTAACCTCATATGTGCGGAGTAAGACTTCTCTGTAAAGTTTTCAAGGCTGTGACCTTTTGGAAGCAGATTGCCAGGTCTGTCTTCCAAGGTATTTCTGGGTGGGTTCAAACTGCCAACTTTTCGGGTAATAATTGAGTGCTTAACCATTTTCACCACTCAGGTAACCCCTCAGAAAGAAAGTAGGTCCATAATTAATATGACAAAATTGTTTTGGGAACCCAAATAATACTCTGGATATTCCAGAGGCCTGCAGGATGATGAGTATTCAAATATTAGGGATACATTTCAATCCCATGGTAACCACATGATGGCAAGGCTGATTAAAGTTTTCTCAGTGGCCTTAAAGCCATAATCATTTAGAAGCCTCCAAATCCCATCCCTAATGTGATAGGCACTGGATCTATTTGTGGAGGACGTTGATGGATGATTTTTGCCATCAGTCTAAGCAAGATGGAAGCTGACATGCCAGTTGCAAACCTTTGTAAAATCTTTATCTGGTGTTGGAGAAAATGCAGGCCAATAGGGCTAGCCAGACATTATAGAGTTAGGATTATAACCACTATCCAACTGCAATCCCCCTCCCTCAACACAGCACTCACAAATAGACTCAATCTATCTCAGGCTCCAGGACAAGAAGATCAGTGTCATCACATCTCCAAGTAGAGATTGCAAGAGTGGGTGTGAGGATGTGGGGATGTGGGGAAGACTGACAAACTGTACTGAATAGTGGTGTGTAAATAATTATAATTATTTTGGGTTTTGAACAACTGATTTCTTTTGCATTTTCCATGATAATGTCTGTCTGAGATTTTTAAAAATGTAAGGAAACATATATCTAAGTCTCTGAGTTCATTTGCCTTCCATTTTGGTGGTATGGTGTGGAAGTAATTCAAATGTGAATGGACTACTATAATTTAAATAAGCATACCAAGATAAGTGAGTTTATGGTACTGAGTGCATGAGATCCTGGCATGTCTGGTAGATAAGCAGTAGTTCAATTCTCAGTGTTAGATTTGATTGACAAGGACTGGAGGTGGAGGTGGCGGGGGGGGGGGTCAACAAATTCTTCTGCATGGTTGGACTCCAGAATTTTCAAATGGATACTACAGGTTGCTAGACAACCTCATAAAAACCAGTTTTTGTGCTTTTCTTTTTTTCTGCACTTATTTTTATATGGTTCTTTCCTCTATTTCCCAGAGTCAGTCACACTGTCCTCCTTAGGATTGTTTGAATCAGAGAGAGAGGAAAAGAAAAAAAAAAACAAAAAACCAAGAACAATACTCAGACTTTTTGACTTCCATAGTCATTCCTTGGGAATCATGGTCATGAAGGAATCTGAACACAGAATTTATAGAATTACTATGGAATTAAAAGGTAATAGAGGGCGAGCCATCCGTCTTTCACATTTCTGGATTGCCTACAAGACACCTATCAAGGGAAGCGGGAGGAAAGAGAAATTGGATGTAAATGATGGAAGTAAGAGAGGGGAACAGAACTGGGGGGAGGGGAAGGAAAGGAGTGCTCAGCCTAGGGAGACTTCTGAGTAACATGGGGTGGGGCCAAGACCAAGACACTACATGGAAGTCAGGCAATGTGTCCAAAGTCTTCACCCCCATTTGAGGAAGCCCTACACCTCACCTGGTGGAGTTGTTAGTTGTCAGTCTTATTGTGGCCTATGGGTCTTATGTTAATAATGGCCTGAATGTCACGTGTAGATTATCCAGCAGAAGGACTTACCTCTGTCTTGAGATAGCTGAGCCCTGTCTGAACGGTGGGATCATACCCCCTTTACACTGACGCAGGACACTCAGAATCCTCCCGACATGTAGTGTGGAGTTCTTGACCCTGAAATACCAGTGGATGAATGTAAGGGGGAGCCCCAACACAAGTGTTTTGGTGGGACTTATCACACCTGAGAGCTCATATGGAGCACTTATGGTTTCAAGAGGCTCAAGGACTGAAGATTTGGGAAGATCAATTTTTTAAAGATGTTGATTTATTTAAATGATATAATTTTATTTGGGAATACTCTGCACCATCATGAGCAGGGCATACTTAAGTTATTGGATCATTTGTGAGGAGGTAGATTTGAAACTTTGTCTTGATAAATGCCAGTTCTCCATCATCTCTTGAAAGAATATGAAGTAAGGAGAGACTACAAAATGAACTCTCCTCCCATTTCTATATCTTCTTCCATTATCATTAATGAGCTAAGGCTTCTTTATTTTGGTTCAATGGATGTACAGGGGATTTGTCAAATATTATTCTAAGATTCCCAAGGTTCTTGTTGAACTGGCATGTGTTTTTCAGTCCCATGTTAGACTCTCCTGCTTAAATCAGAGTCCTTTAGACAGTCTTCAAAATGAAAAAGAGATGATCTCCTGCTCTTTTGAGCTTGTCAGGGAGCAGTGGGACCTGACCATAAGAAGGTGTTCAAACCGTGGTTACCCTGTGCTTAACACTTGCTGATCTCCAAAAGGCTCATGTATTACCCAATGTTCTCTGCCATGGCTTTTCCAAAAACTTCCCATGTTTCTCTGCTGGGCCAACTTCAAAGCCTTCCTTACCACCGGTAGCCCTGGTAAGAGAACTCTAAGGGAAACTTCTAATACCCTCAGAAGATTGACCAAATTGACAAGGGGTTCTCTCCATTGGGCAAGAAAAGAAGGATATGGAAATGCTCACCCTGGAAGATTCATTATGGCCAGGGCAGGAGGCTGCCCTCAGCATGCTTGTGAGCAGCAGTCAGAGTGCGTAACTCAGCTTTGTGGAGACAGCTTCTTTGCAATATTACTCCTTTGTT